TCTCTCTCTCTCTCTCCACAAGGTCTTGTTGTGTAGTCCAGAGTGACCTCAAACTTGCAGCAATCCTCCTGCCTCAGCCTCCTGAATCCTGGGATTATACATGTGCACCCTGGTAGTTGGCTTCTAAACAAGAATTTCTTTCTTTCTTTCTTTCTTTCTTTTTTTTTAAGGTCCAATGGGTAATGTGCCCATGTCGTAACAAGGTTTGAGGGAGGCACATCTCATGCATGAGGCATGAACACCCAATCATGCTCATAAACTGAAGGATTAAGCAAGAATTTCATGGGGCCGGGGAGATGGCTCAGTAGAATAAGCACTTGTCTGGCAAGCACAAGGGCCTGAGTTCAATCTCTAGTTCCGCAAAAAAAAGAATTTTAGAATTGGCAATGTAAGACTTTTTGTCACTCAGTCTCCAGATGTGGGTGGGTCACAAACTCTTGACTCAGGAGCTGCAGTCAGGGTGGTCGACATCCCTGCAACTGCAACAGTGAAAAGCAGTCTTCAGAAAGCTAGAGAAAAAAAAAAAAAAAAAAAAAAAAAAAAAAAAGCTAGACAGGCCAGTGTGCCGGTGCACGCCGTAACCCCAGCACTCGGGAGTCTGGGGCAGGAGGATTGCGGCCAGGTCAAGGCCAGCCTGGGCTCCACAGTGCGCTCAGGGCCACCCTGAACTGCATAGCTAGACCCAGTCTCAAAAGAGAAAAAAGGAGGCTGGGGAGGTGGCTCAGTAGAATAAGTGCTTGCCTGACAAGCGCAAGGGCCTGAGTTCAATCCCTGGTTCTGGAAAAAAAAAATGTACAACAAAAAATTAGGAGTATAGGGCTGGTGAATAGCTCGGTGGTGTAAAGAACCTGCTTAGGCAAGCTTGGGTAGATGCAGGGGACCGTGGTTTGATCCCCGGCACCGCAGGTGGCGCCAGACCCGCCCTCAGGTTGGATTGAGCTGCCCCCACCACAAAACAAAAAAGAAAAGAAAAAGAAAAAATAAAGAAATTAGGAGTGTAGAGGGAAAAAAAAATGGCGAGACTGTACCTTGTGGGCTTCCTGTCATTTTCTTGATTCCGAATCTTCCTCTGTGGGGAAGGGGTGCAATTTTCAAGAAAGTTGGTTTCTGCCGCTTGCATTCAAATAGCCCACATTTACCATTACCCAGGAAGCCCTGGGCTGGGGAGACAGCTCAGTGGCGTGAGCACCTGCCTGGCAAGCGCGTGGTTATAAGTTCGATCCCCGGTACCAAAAATAAATAAATCAATAATTTAAACAATTAAAAAAAATTAAATGTTGCTGTATAGCCATCACGCAGCCTCTCCGCTGCTCCCAGACTCCCCTCTACCGGTAGTCCAGGGTCACGGTCCTGACCTTGCTGTCTACCCGACCAACCCTGCACCAGGAGCCTTGCGCATGGGGAGAGATTGCCCTGCAGCACCTGCCTGGAGGAAGCGCGGACGCTGCCCTTCGGATCCGCGCTCTGAGGCACAGAACACAGGCTGGCGTCATTCCTAAGACTCCCGGGCAAGCACTGTGCCTTCTCCTGGCTGGGGACCCACTGCCTCAAAGTTGGTACATAACTGACACACAACAAATAAATACTTGTTGATTGGTGAATAAAGTTTTACACCCTCTGGTTATTCGACATAGGGTCTCACTGTGTTGTTCAGACCGGACTTGTTTTTTTTTTTTTTTTTTTTTTTTTTTTGGGGATTGAACTCTGGCCCTTGCGCTTGCCAGG